TTTAAAACTTTCATGCAGCGTTAGTCCTAAGTTTAAATGCATAAAACAAATTTGCAAGTAATATATTGAGTTTCACACATTTGTAACGATTAGTGGAACAGAATATAATACTTAAATCTCTTATATTTTGTTTTATTTTAGTGCATTAAACTAAAGCGATGGGCTCGATATTTAGCCAATAAAACAAAGTGTAATTACAGTCTGGTTGTAAATGAGAGAACATTATTATACACCGCATAGCACGTCAACCGAACCCAGAATGACAAAAGATTAAAAGAAGCGTAACCCAAAGGAATTAGTTATGGTTTTCATGACCAAATATATACTTTGAGAAAGCAATTAAAAGGAATAATTAAATACAAACAGTTCAACACTTTAAATAATCAAAAATAATAGTACCAATTCCATTTCCTCGTGTAATTAATTTTGAATACGTTTGTATCGTTTTGCATATTATTTTCCTACTTCCGCTTTTGCGTTAAAACTCATCCAGTGATACATAACAAAAATAACGCAGGAGAAAGTTAGGGGCTGCTATTAAACGAAACAGAACCCTAATAGTTTTACGTTCCAGTAATGTTTGAGTCAAGTTTATGTAAAACTTAGAGGAAGATATCGTCCTTGTCATCTTTTAACCTTGGCTCAAAATTATGAGGTTCATGTCGAATAATTCCCATGTAAACCTAGATGATAACCAGGGATGTTTTAAAGTATGGGCCAACTGGCTCGGATCCAGGGCTTCGACCTCGGGGATTGGGAGGAGGGGGCTTGTATCGTTCTTGACTCGGCCTTAATAAGATCATGATCCGGATAATTTTAATCCTCAAATGTTATTCCGAGGCACATTCTCCGAAAAACTGGAAATTTGCCGGACTCCAGCAACATTAGCCGGAGTCTTGACACAGGCCTATTACTATACACCATCATTACTAATTTAGTCAAAAGATGGCAGTCATTCAAGTCAATTTGTGCATTTGTATATGAGATTGCGAGTCATACACATTTGTTGGTTACGGGCTACCGTTTGTATAAGCAGGGACGTCTTAAGACTACTTGATGCCCTGTGCCCCTACTCAAAAGGCCCTACACAATTCTAGGCCCCACCTATGATCCTGAAAAGTAGACAGTATGTAGCATACGTTGTCAAATACTCGAACAAACAATTAACCGAAACATAAATGAGCATGACTTACAATCGTACTAAATGGTTCGACTAACTGCCGCCTTTTGACTGAATGAGTAATGATGGTATATGGTGGTAGGCCTAATCCTGTACGTGGACGACGGTCATCATATGTAGCCAGTTGACATATTATCCAAAATTCCCGGGTTTTTTGAGAATACAAGCCTAAATAACATTTGACAGTTGAAATTTCTAAAATTATGATCTTATTAACATACGGTAACCCGTAACAAAAATGAGCGGGATTCACAATCTCAAAAACATAGGCAAAAATCAATTGTCGCTTTTCGATGAAAGAGTAATTATGGTGTTCAGTGGCGCACGCAAGGGGGGTTTCCTAAGGGTCCAGACCCCCCCATAGAGCTTGACTTTTTTCCGATTGGTTATAATCCTATGTATATATTACGTAAAATTTAGTTATGTATTTGTTATTAATAATTAGTTTTATTAATTAATGCTAATTATTTATTCAATAATTAATTTTGTATTGTTTTTGTTCCTCAAAATTGACGAAATCAAAAGAATACGCTGGGCGGCGTATTGGAGCATGATACCAAAATGGTGGACTTTCTCTCTCTCTCTCTCTTTCTCGACCCTGGTCCCCCTTCACTTGAAAAATTTGTGTGTGCTCTACTGATGGTGTATAATGGTAGGCCTAGACTTAGACATGGACGACAGTTATTACATAATAATGTAGTCTTGTCATTGTTACCAGTTGGTGTATAGTGCGACATTCCCAATCTATTGTGTATTAATGTCCAGAAATAACATCCGACCATAAAAATCATTTGGATCATGATCTTATTGAGGACGAGTCGCGAACAAGATCAGGTCCTTTCCTAAGCCAAGGCCCTGGGCCCGAGCCCAGTTGGTCCATGCCTTAAAAAGTCCCTGACTGAATAATCAGAATTCGCGAGATAAGTAAGTTATTCTAATCTATATTTAACCTCTTTCAGCTACAATAGTATTGTTGCTACTTATCCCACCCGATGGACAATAACACCGGATCGAGGCCCACGAAATTCATCGTGGCAAGAGGAGCTAGATTACGTCTGTCGTTTTGACCATTGCTTTGTGTGGCATGTAGGTGACAGAACGATTTTCCTACATTCCACCTCAATTTTGAGAGAGGGGACCTGGTGTGTGGGGCTCGGTGATATCGAACGTCTGGAAAGGACTTTCGGTTAACCAAATATATATATATATATATATTTCGAGTGCCCTATGCCACAAATGCACTACACATAGGGACGATTTAAGCGATTTAAGGCAGGGGTCAACTGGGCCCGGAATCAAGGCCTCACTCTTGGGGGGAAGGGGGTCAATTCGTTTTCGTCTCTGTATTAATAAGATCATGATCCGGATAGTTTTAATGGTCAAAGATTATTCCCGTACATATTCTCCGAAAAACAGAGAATTTCAAACTGCATGTCAACTGACAAAAGTAGTAAAACTGTATTTTTATGGGATGACCGTCGCCCGTGTCTAGGCCTAGGCCTAATACTGAAAACAATCATTCAATTCATTTAGTTAAAATGCGACCACCGGTTGAGCCGGTTAGTGTCTAGATTTTTTAGATTGTAAGTCATGCACACTTATTCGTTTCACATTATCGTTTGAACGAGTTTTTGACAATACATGCCATGTACTGTCTACTTTTAAAGATCTAAGGTAGAGCCTACTTTTTAACGGGGGCCTAGGGTCTGGAAAAATCTTAAGATTTCTCTGGGCCCAGGGCCTCAAAGAGTCTTAAGATGTCCCTGGCTACACATTTACAAGCATTCATGTGCTCCACGGGATTAAAACCTGGACCCTTCGGCACAACAGTCAACGTAACAAATCACCCTCCTGTCTAGGCTAATGATATTTTTACTCTAGGAAGAATCGCAATTACACTGCTGGACAATTGCTAAGAACGGATCACAAATTGCTATGTAGCATAACATTAAGCGAGACATGAGGCCTAGTAGGATAAAATATAGTTGCCACACTGTTCAGACATTAGAATAAAGAATATTTATTGTTCTGGAAAGTACAAAAGCTGTGAAACATCTGAAAGAAAAAAAAATATTCATTTGATCTGCGTACGGAGAAATGGAACAATGCATCTAAAAGTCAGCAGGCACCTTAAAGAAAGGTATCAGTACGGGATATGTCCACCGTGGAGTGTGATGCAACATTCCACACGTCGTACCATACTTTGCACAACGTTATCCAGCAGCTGTTGAGGCAATTTATCCCATTCCTCTGTGAGTGCACGGATGAGGGTGTTCTTGTTTGTCGGATGATAGTTTCGACCAGCAACTTGCATCCCCAAAGCATCCCACACATTTTCAATGGAGTTTAGATCTAGAGAACACGCTGACCATACGAGACGTTGAATACCCTCGCTGTCTAGGCAATCCTGAACAGCGAGTGTTCGATGACATGTTGCGTTGTCGTCCATAAAAACAAATTTATCACCGACAGCACCAAGGAAAAGACGAACATGAGGAAGTAGAACTTCATCAATGTATCGTTGGCCCGTCATAGTCCCATTCGCAACCACGTGTAGGCGTGTGCTGCCATTGATCATGATGCCGGCCCACACCATGATACTGCATGTCGGATATCGGTCCTTTTCCTGGATATTTTCTGGACGATAAGCAGTACCACTCTCGCGCCAGATCAGTTGGCGTCTACAATCCGATGACAGACTGAACCTACTCTCATCTGAGAATAGTACGCATGCCCAGTCTTGTTCAGTCCAATTGTGATGCTCACGACACCATTGCAAACGGGCAGTACGGTGCTGTCTGGTCAATGGGACACACACAACAGGTCTGCGTGCGTATAGTCCTCCTCCCCTAAAACGTCTGGCAACAGTTTTTCGGGAGATCTGCTTTCCTGAGGCAGCAAGAAACTGATTTGCCACCTGCTGAGCTGTGGTGCGCCTGTTCCTTTTTGCTGATAGGACGATATATCTGTCTTCTGCAGGCGTCGTACTTCTAGCACGACCTCCCCCGTGCCGTCTACTACACATTCCAGTAGTTTTAAATGACTTCCACAGCCGTGAAACAACGCTGTGAGCGATGTCGAACTCCCTGGCAACATCTGCTATTTTTCGCCCTTCTTCGATGTTTCCAATAATTCGGCCACGTATAAAATCATCTATGTGATGTCGGGAAGACATGCCAAAAATTTTAAGTTCGTCTATTAAATCTTTCCTGTAAAACTTTGACTTGAAACAACAACTGTCCACACGCGTCAAAACCTTTAAAGCTCTTATGAACGCTATCACGTGATGAACAGACGTGGAAAAAAAATTTGCATACTCATACTTCTTCTTACTAATATCCCGCACTTATTCTAATTTTCCACATTTTGCTTCCTTTCATTTTGTGGTTGCTATGGATGATAGTGTTATCCGTCCTTAGCAATTGTCCAGCAGTGTAACTTATTCTACTGTCTACTTTTAAGTCTAAAATATTTAAGCGGGGGAGGGAAAGGAGAAGCATCGAAAATAAAGAACTCACAAATGTATTTCAATGTTATAACAAGTAATATAAAAAAAAAAAGTCAATTACTATTTAGGTCAACAAAGAAAAATTTTATTTTATTAAATAGTTACAATCAATATATGAATACGTATATACATATGACAGAATTACAATATTAAGTGACCAAATAGAAATTTCCATTTTGAAAAATTTTCTTTTCTACATATGATATTGGGCTACTTTTGTTTGTTTTTGTTACTATTTATATTCATTAGTTAAATTTAAATATTCTAATAAAATAATATAGTGAAAAAGAAATCATATTCTCAGAAATTAGGTCAAGCCAGTGGGACTCGAACCCACGCCCTTTGGATCAGAAGTCCAATGTGCTATCCTATGCGCTACAGGGACACAACGAACAACTGACTTTTCTATATATGCTATTGGACTTTTATTTTTGTATGTTATTATTTATTCATTTTTTTAATTTAATGAATGACTAAATATTTGAAAAAAGTGCATGAACATCAAGTGTAAACCACTACAAGTTTAAAAAAATGTATTTGAATTTGAATAATGGATGAATAGAAAGTATTTTATTACCGATTGAAAATTTTAACAATATATATATATATATTAGAAGAGAGTGAACTAATAGTAGGAATTGAAAAATGTACTTGGAATGAACGCATAAAACATTTTGTTTTATTTTATATTACACACTCATTGTAATAAAGCTACAGCTTGTATTTTACGTGATTCCTTACCTAACAAGTCATAATTTCCTTACATTTATCAAATATTTCGAATATGTTATTAACATTAATTAATTATTGAATTATTAAACCTTAATTCAGTAATATTCAGTTAGTATTCGATTATGAAATTTTTATCATACAAGCATATTTCAATACAAAAAAATTGATAATATCCAATTTAAAAATATTAAAACCCAAACTGATAATACTAATTTCACTCAGACTAATTAATATTATAAAATATAAAAGCAAAAAAAAAATCAATACTTACTAGCAATGCATAAAAGTATACTCAGATGGTAAAACATTGTACCGAAAGAACGAGAATGAATTGACTTACACTATACTGTGCCAAATGCTTACGCAGGAATTATTCAAAAAAATATTATCACGTTTTGGAGAAGGATCCGGGAACACACATTTCAAAGAATCAATCAGTTTTTTTCCGGAAATTATAAAAGTAAAAAATAAGCGTATTTTACATGCATAAATATTTCTTAAATATTTGATATAAACACAGAAAAGGATATTAAATTTAACGGAAATGTACTGAAGTCCGTGGTAGAACAAAGTAAAAATATGTTTGTGTGTTTTCGAATTCAATTTTCATTCTAATAAATAAATTAATAGTGATATTTTTATAAGCTAAAGTATAATTTTTAATTCAAAATTTAAAAAGAAGAAAAGTGCAAGAGTAACACACATTACGTATATTAAAAATGAGGGTCACTCAGTAAGATTAAGAAAATTGATGCTTTATTATATGCTGGAATGTTTATATAAAGGATTTAAGATAAATATATAAGTCAGGAGCCTCCGATATAAATATATTTAATCATATGAACTCGTTTATATTGTCCCAAAAATATTTTTATATATTCGAATTTCTCATTCTTCGATCAGCATGCTTCACTTGAATAAGTTCTCTGATATTCTCTAAAGATATAATGCATCAATATTCAATTTGCGACCCGCGGGCCGCATGTGGACCGGCGGCTCTTTCAGAGTTGCCAGGTCATGGCTAATGAGCTCAATTCATCAAGTCGCGTGATAAAAACAAGCGCGTGTTTTTCATTGAATTCAAACCAAACATTAAACTAATTGTACTTGTTCTATTTGTAACACTCAGATAAAATTTCAAACTTCACATTTGGGTAAAGATGTTCAAATGTTAGGGAGAAAAATTTCTTCAAAAAGGCTTTTTATACATTAAAAAAAATCAGATTTTATGTTTATACTTTTAAATAAAATACATTTTGTACACATATGTACTTTTTAAGAGAGAGTTTCTGCAAAGATCAAAACTCGGCAACATCGGAGCGCGTGAACTGATTATCTGGAAACACTAGATAGTTTTTATCGTGTGACTATGACGTCGCATGAGTTTTTAAATTGATTGGCTAGAATCACGTGGCTTTCACTATCATGTGACTATGACATCACTGGAATTGATCCCATTACACTAACAAATTCAATTATTAAGGAACATTTCAAAATTAAATTAACAAGAAACTTTATCAATCAAGCAATCACATACATCAATTTTGGTATCGATGTCGTGCTAGTACGAACATCGAGATAACTTTTTCTCTTTTCGTAATTGTAAGGGTTAATGATATCAAATAACAGTGGAATAGCGGCTATTTTGTAGGTGATACCAATTTTTAATTAACCCTCACGTGTCTTCTAAGTGAAAAGTATCTAGAGTATATGTTGTTTTATGACGATTGGGTTGGTGTGGTGTGGTAGTTAGGAGAGGGGGGTGCCAGCTCAGATGTCGTCCACGTCACTTGACCATGGTTCAAAATTACGTGGTCCGTCGCCAAAAGCCCTCGTGTAGCTGAACAGTGCGACGTTAATATTAACTCACTCAATTATGACGATTGGGACCTCTACTATTTCACAGTGAAAAACAAACACAGATTTGCATCTTGTTTGATTTGTAGAGAAAATTTTATATTTAAAAAATAGTTTTGCTCGTCATTATAACACTAAGCCAAATCTTTCACTGGCTCTTTTTCTTGAGAATCTTTTTCAAGACGAGATAAATTGGCTTTCTTAAAAAAAAGTCTCCAACAGTAAAAACATATTTGGGGAAGATGGGGATCATTGATGGAAGGAAATTGAAATTTCTCCATGACTGGGTAAAAAGGGATAAAATCTAATTTTTGTGAGTTGAGTTTGATAGAGTTTAATATATAATTTTAAAATAAAATCCCAAATTATTTTTTTTAACTTAAAATATTTTGATCAATTTTCCGTCTTTGAAATTTTCTTGATCTTATGGTGTCCCCCCCCATTAATCCTCGTATTGCGGCCCTCGTGAAATAGTATGGTGCCCGATGGGAAAAAAAGTTTGAATACCCCTGATACAGTGGTGCACACAAGGGGAGAGTCCTAGGGGTCCGGACCTCCTCAAAGCCTTTAATATTTTTTTCGATTGATTATAATTCTAAGTATATAGTACGTAAAATTTATTTAAGTATTTGTTATTAATAATTAATTTTATTAAATAAAGCTAATTATTTATTCAATAATTAGTTTTTTACGGTTTTTGTTTCTGAAAATCGACCAAATCAAAAGGCGCATGATACAAGATATGCGGAATTTCGACCTTAAACTCCCCCCTTTTGAAAAATTTCTGTGTACGCTACTGCCCTGATATAATGTCATATTTGAGCATATTATTCAACATTCTTCGATAAATACATGATGTTTCATTTTAACATAAACACGCATGTCATTTAACATTTTTCGATAAATATAATGTTCCAACTGAACACACATTTTATTCAATATTTTTCAACTAACTTAAAGTTCCATATGAGCAAGGGACTCAATATCCTTCGATAAACAAGATGTTTAATTCAATTCCTACTATTAGTTCTCACACTTCCTATATATATTTTGCCGTGTAGGGCAGCGATGCACATTAAATCTGTCGAGAGCTGAAATATCCTCCCGTTGGTGTGGTGTGGTAGTTAGGAGAGGGGGGTGCCAGCTCAGGTGTCGTCCACGTCACTTGACCATGGTTCAAAATTACGTGGTCCGTCGCCAAAAGCCCTCGTGTAGCTGAACAGTGCGACGTTAATATTAAATCAAATCAAATCAAACCTATATATATTTATATATCTTGTTCAAATTTTCAGTCGTTAATAAAATACTTTTTATTCATCCACTCTATGTTTTATATTAATCATTTTTAGAATAAATTAGTTAAAATTATTCAAATAATTCAAACATTCAAATATTTCATTTCAACAAACTGGAATTCGAATTATATGGTAAACAAAAAAAAAGTTACTTCCTACTTTAATGACGCCATCTGTTGCAGCTAGTTGTAAATTCGTCAGTACTAATGCAGACTAAGTTTAAAATTAGAAAATAAAATTATTTATGTATATATATATAGTATATATATATAGTATATATATATAGTATATATATATAGTATATATATAGTATATATATAGTATATATATATATATAGTATATATATATAGTATATATATGTGGGAGACAACAAGGGGTCCAAGACATTTGTCTTTCTTCAGATTTATTTAAACTTAACAAAAATTAATTAAAAAAAAAAGTAGCTATTCTACAATTATATTTCCATGATGTGACGACGGTAACGCCTGCTCGCGCACCTCAGTCTTTCTCTCCGCTCTTTTCTCAATGGTCAAAGTTTTGGTTTCACTTTGTTTCAGCTGCGCCTGCGCGCGAAGACTGTGCTTTTCTTCGTTGAGAGATTCATTTTGATGACGACTCCACAACCGATTCCACAACGGCCAGCCTGACCGTACGCTGACCGCAGCGGTACTTATTTCTCTTTTTTTTCATGGAGACCAGAGGAGAATCTGAAACATACAAAAAAGACGGAACAGACAAGGATTATACAACAAATACACAAAGATTTAACATATCATAATTTTGCTGAACTAGACAGTTTCTCCCCACATCTTCATGTGGTCTGCTGCTGTGGATGTAGTATTGGCCAAATATCATTCAACGATATTGGAGGTTGTGGAAGAACAGAGAGAACAATTTCCCCATCATGTGAAGGCACCTCTTCGACATCCGGAAGGTTCAACAGGGAAACATTGTGTTTCACAGGCATGGCATGATTCTGAGATGACGATAGTACGGTAGGAAAACCAAAGTTGGTAACCACAACGGTGTTGTAGGTTTCTAAAACAGAGGACGACGTGTACGTTACCGACGGAGAGTTATGCTGCTTCTCAGTTTTTGACATCCCACTCTCGGGCCCAAACCCGTTGATTTGCGGAATGTGGTTCTGATGAACAGAATCATTTATTTTGCTATCTTGGTCTTTATCAGTTCCATCAGGCATAAGAACGCCCTTTTTAATAAGCTCTTCTTTGGTTGAACGCATCGATATTTTCCTCTCTAGAGTTCTGGACGTCTGTTCAAAACGATCGCTCTTTTTCTTCCGTTTCCACTGCCAGGGCTTGAAGAGCCTCAGGAGCATCGCGAACCGACTATGTTTACTCTCCATAGGTGAAGGGGTAGACGACCGGGAGTTGGAGCTCACGGAACTCGTTTTCATGGTACCATTGACTTTCTCACACAATACTATAGGTGAACAACAATCAGAACATTTTTCTCTTATAATACCCATTTTTAACT